TTCAGCTTTAGCTAAAATATAGGCCCCTCCTTATTTTATGCCAAACTGTTAGCATATTATGAGTATATTAAATATATGTATATTTAAAATTACGTAGTTGTCCTTTAGTTTTATACACGTTTTCTATTTTAATGTCCTTGTGTTTGCTCGCAAGATGAGATTTCAGATGCGACACGTTACCATTGTTGACTTTTATGGGGCGCTTGCATTCCTTACAGATACCTTTCTCCATGTCATAATAATTCCAGACTGGCGAGGTTCTTTCTTTAACATTAAATACTTTTTAATACTTGCCTAATTAAATCTATAGTTTCTATAAAAACATTAATTCAAATCAGAAGCTTGGGGTTATCTTAATTAATAAGCCTTAGGTAAAGAGCTAAATCCGAAATTTTAAGAAGTACTTATTTATTTCTCAATAATTTAATATAGCTTTAAATTAAAATTTCAAGTTGTTAGGATGTTTTGAGTAAAATTATTTTTGATCCGCACGCTCTGCTTCTAGGGTGAGTGAATTATAACACTCAGCAAAGTGGAAGTTTAGATTCCTGTTCAATCCAAAACATCTTATATTAATTATCTTACGTCTGATTGGTTTTTTTCTTCCTTTTTGACTCACAATAGCAGTATCTTGAATTGGATGTTCTTGTTGATTTGGATCTTCTTCGATAGTTGCAGCTAAAAATTTTATAAAATTTGTTGCTAAAAATTTAAAATAATCAAGGAAAAATTGGACCTCGAAAAATTTTAACTTACAAACTCACCTCCTTACACTTTTTACTATAAGAGAGGCATATTTAATGGAAATAATTCTGATTGAGAATAGCGGTAGGCCATAGCGTTTTGTATATTTTCAGTCGATTCTTGACCTTTCATTGCGTTTCGTATTTTGCGCAAATTTAGCCTAAATTAACACAAAAAACTCCAGAAATATACACAAGAAAAAACGACAGAATACCGTATTTAGTAGGATATTGGATGGTCAAGGAAGAAATCAATGGCATTAAAAGAATCAAGTGTGATATATGAGGCTTGAACATAGTTATTGTAGGGATTTGGGGTTTAAATTGGATATCAGGTATTTGGAGGGATATCAGGGAACTCGTAGTTACTAATAGTATAAGTAATTTATTTGGATTACGGGGAAATTGGAGGGATCTCCGTAATTACGGAAGAATCACTAATTGTCAGTGAGTGTCGCGTCAATTATTTGATATAAGGTTTTTGGTCAATTATTTGATCTAACGTTTTGGACGTTAGTAGTTTGGAAGTACCGTGGATATAAGAGGATTTGGACTTAGTAAAGTGGTCCTCATGTATAAATTTTTTTATTTTGGAAGGCCAATGAGTTATTTCGTCAAAAATAACCCAGTAGATATTTCAATGGAAAAATAAATTTAATTTTTAAATTGACTTACGCTTATTCAGATCAATTTCAGATCCCCGTTGACCCCCACTTGTCGATCCAACCTCTTCCTTTCTTTTCCTGCTGCCGCCACATTCCAACAAAATTGAATAATTTAAAATAATTAACAAGCAAATAACAAAATTAGTTAATATCATCTGAAATAATTCGATTGGGAATAAGTTGCCTTGGTCTCTTCTAGAATAATTTCGGACGGTACCCCAAATTACTGATTACGATATTCTAATGATTAGGCAATATGCTTCTCAAAATTTCCGGTGCCCAAATCCGGTGCTCAAAATTTGACGGACCTGGATCCGGATTCCTGATTTGCATCTAGAACAAATCCGGATACGGCCGGATTTTTCCGGATTAATCCGATCCGGTTTTAATCTGGAAATTGCGAAAAAAAAATCCGGATTTGGGACACGGACTTTGGAAAAATCTGGCCGAATCCATCCGGCCCCGGTCACTAATTTTAGTAATTATTGCCCTATAAAAATACATCACGATAAAATTTTCAGAAAGAAGAAAACCTTAAATACATTTAAAAAGTAGGCGGGCAAAGGCGTTTACGCTATGCCAAATTTCACAAGAATTCCATAAATGATGTTTGTGTGCTAATAACATTTTTTTATTATTTTTTAAAAAATATTAAGAAAATCAAATCAATAAATATTGTACTCGTTACTCAAAGAAATCCGCAATCCGTTAACAATTTTAACAGGTTGATAGAGAACTTTGGCATGTTTAATAACAGCCATTTTGTTCGCCTATATTTTTTAAATCACTCCATTGCGAATTATTTTCACTGACCGAATTGTTTTCCCCGGATTTTATTAAGAAAGTGACTATTCAATGTGATTTATCACAAGAATAATGATGCTGAAGCATCAAGAATGAATAAGTATATGTTGCTTGAGATCAAGCATTCAGATTCCAAGGGGAGAGACTACCCTTGGAATTAAACATTTTATTGACGGATTTATCTTTTTACACTACACATAATTGTTGACATTCATGTTTAAAAAATACATAAAATAGAGGCCGGCAAAATCGTTCACAAATTTCCAAATCTTCACAAAAATCACTCACAATAATTCACATGATTTGAATTTGCATGGCTAATCACATTTTTATTTACTAATTTTACAAAATTATTATGAAAATTAAATCAATAAATATTGTACCTTATACTTAATTAGCAAATTTTTTTAATATATACCGGATATTGATGCCCTTTAACGTTAGGGTAGAATTTTTTTATTTTTTTTCAAAGGACACAAATATGGAATTTTTATTTTATTTTCTGAATTTATTTTTGTTTTATATTATTTTTATAAATAATTTCTTTCAGAAAAAAAAGTATCCGGGCAAATGCGTTTCTGTCGCTGTTTGTTTATTTTTCTATTTAAACCTAATTTAATTCAAATTAATAAACAAACTTCAACAAAAATATAGGTAGTAGGTAGTCTACATTCATATCTCCCGTAAATTTCCAAATTCAGAATGTCGACATTTGGAATAGTTTGCATCTCCAGTTTTCGACAACTCCTACTTTCCGATACACCTCTCTAATCAAAACTTACTTACAATCAGTACACTTTCCCAATTTTCACAATGAGTAATTATCTCTTACGATTGTCCCTGGTAACCAAAACTAACCTACAAAATATTTATTAAAATTAAGATATAATTCAAATAAACTTTTTTATAAATTTGTATTAAGTAATAAAATTTATATTTTATGAGATAAATGGATAAATGTTTGCGTTATAAAATTTATGGGAATTTTTTTAATTGTAAATAATTTTTAATTTGTTTCTCATTAAATACTTTTTAATGTTAAATTAAATAATATTTTTAAATAAATAATATTTTTAAAATACGTTACTATTAAATTAACTCACGCACTTTTTAATTGATAAGAAAATTTAAGAATTGGATTATTTATAAAAAACCCTAAAAACTTGGGGTTTTAAAATGCTCAGGTCATTTCGTCCTGTGGAGGGTTATTTCTCAGACCCACGCCTGCCTACAGTCTGAGAGGCCTGCCTACAGGTATACAATACTTTTCAGGTACTGTACCTAATTGTCTTGCTTTCTATCATATAGTTAAGCACACTAAGCACTCGCCAGATGGTCTTAAAATTTTTCAATAATAACAAACTACTAGTAAAGTTTGTTATAGTAAAAAATAGTAAAAAAACTATAGTAAAAAATAAAGATTTCCAAAAATGAGTGTTACTGATCTACTAACAACTTTTGAAATTATTACGATAATATTTACTATCTATTCAATTTTGGTTTCAACACCAATTTATATTTCTGTGCTAGCTTATATTCGACGGTATAGTAATAAGCCACCTTTTAATTCTCCGTTTTTTACGTGTTTTTGTGTTCTAGGAATTGTTGACATAGTGTAAGTAAATTATTAATAAAATTAAATGTCTCATAATTAATGGCTGATCCTAGTGCTGATCCGAAGGATCGAGAATTTTTATATTGTTGTCTTTTTTGGTTTTTCGGGTATCAAAAAATATTATAGATTCTATGTCTCTAAACGGGATATTTGTGGGTTATGTTTTGCGATATTATCTCTCAAATTTGGATTCCTAACTTGTTGGAGACTATTAGTATAATCACAGGCGAATTCGAATATAATTGAAATTGTTTTCCTCCCCTGTGATCTCAGAAATAATTATCCGTTGCGTAGACATTCTGATATCCCGAAACTAGAAGTTGTTCATTTTAACAGCTCAAATATTTTAGTGCCTATTGGCTCTACATTCTTAAAAAACTACTATTTTGGGACATCTCCATCCCATTCTTTCAACATTATGGGTCTCCGAACACAACATGCTCTATTGTTTATTTTTTTATTTGGTTCAATAGAATGGTACAATTGGAATTGAATATACTTATTTCCTTGAATCGTTTTGTTTCTTTAATGTTTCCAAATATTTATCAAAAGGTATCATAAATATATTGTTTAGTAGTGTTTAAAAATAGAGCAAGAGATAGGATTAATGAGCTACTTAAAGATTAGAAAAAAGTAAGGAGTGGATTTAGTGGATTTCAATACCGGAAATTGTATATTTTTCCCGTTAACAAGATTACTAGAGAAGTATTCGATGAGCATTTACTGCTAGTAATTTAAAGAATAGGCCAGTTTTTATTCTACCTTAATAATTTTCCTGGTTGTATGTAAATCAGATAAAAATTATAAAAATTAATTAAGTATTGGACAAACAAACACAATATATTTTATATCTTCATTGTCTATGCAATCTGTTTTGTGACAACTATTAAAATTACTTGGATCCATATAAAGATATCACCTTCAATTATTGTAACAGAAAATGGGAATATTACAAAATATACAGGTCCTGTGTTTGCGAATAGCTCTGATACTGTATGTTTTAATTATCGGTTTCTGAATACATTTATTTCATTCATTTTCTTATCTTTTTTATCTTCTTTTTCATTGGACGGTATTTGTTATGAAGTATCTTTCATCATACGGTTGGGCGAAGTCGGAAAAGCAATACCCATATTTAACTAACACCTAACAATCATTGAACTCAAGGTGTAAATGTTAGGTCCTATATTTTTAAAATTTAAGGACTTTTATGGCTGGATATGGAAAGGACATATTTACATTTTACTAGGCATCTGTTTCTTTTGTTATATTCCGATGTTTTACAAAATTTCGCGATTTGACATGAAAGACCAAACAAAGAAGAAACAATATGAGATTAAAATGTTATATACTCTAATCTCTTTATTAGTTGCGAATATTCTTTATATTTGCTTCCTTTTGACAAGAGATTATTTGACTTTGATATACGCAGAATATGGACGATTTTCTGAATGGTCGCTCTATGTATTGGCTGATATTTATGATTTACATAATCCTTATAATTTATTGGTTACTTCAAAGAAGATTCGATTGGTAAGTAGCACAAAATGATTTACCGAAACAGTTTTTGAAAAGTAAAGAGAAATGGCAAAAACGGGTAATTTCTGTTATGGTTCGCACTTTAAAAATACTTTTTAAATGTCAAGAATTGATTTAAAATATACTGTATTTATTCTAATTTAATGTCCGCCATTCTATTTTTCAATACCCCTAAAAAAGCCATTAAATTAGAGGGCCATTCGATTTGCGGGCCATTCAAATGGAGGGGCCATTCAATTAGAATAAATACTGTATGTTATTCAAAAGAACTCATCGATCTGAGTCGAATGTAACAAACTTACAGTAATGGAACAAAGTTGGGCAGAAATAAAAACAATATCTGTGAAAGTTAGGATCTAAATATCTAATATTTTATACCTCATTCGAAAGAATTCTCAAAGTTTAGATGAATGACACTAAAATCAGCTTTCGATCTATAATTTTAATTAAGAAAAAGAGTAATACTATGAGGTTGTTTATTTACTATTTCGAGCCCCAAATAATTTTGACGTTATTCGAAACAGATCAAAAAGATATATTTTACCCTATTAATTATATTTTAAACATTTCTAAAGTGCGTCGCCATATCAGAAAAGTACCATATTACGAGACACTAAAAGTTCGAAAGTAGAAACGGCACATTTCTGTAGCAAAGCTTCCAAGAATAGGGAATTTTAAGGATTAAGAATACGACCAGAAAGCAATAGTTTCGCCATAGGTCAAGACCAAGTTCTTGAACTATCTAATTAGTTTTTAAAGACAATTTTGTCGATCTATAGCTGAATTTTAAGGGATCCTATCCTTTCATCTTTTTCAAACAAAAAACAACAAAACAAAAACAAACACCTATACAAATTTTAAACAAAATGCAAAATAAAAATCAAATTGGTATTGGCAATCCTATTCCCGTAAATCCTGCATCAAAAACTGAAATGGCTCAATGATTGAGCAGCAGAGACATTTAGTTATATTGAAGATAAAATGAGAGTGAATTTGAAAAGAAATTTGAAGAGAAATTTGGAAATAAATTTTCTCATACAGTAACAATAGTTTGTATATATTTGAGAGAAAATTTCATATCATTTTTATTTTAGTAAAAAGTTGAAATCATTAATTGATCATTAAATCATTGACTGTATAAATATTATTTGTATTATGGTACAGCATTGCATTTTCGTGAAAATTATTTTATATAATTTCAAGATACTCTTATGTTATCTCCCACCCCCTCCCTTCGCCCCATTTTCGAATTTTCAGAATTATCGCTATACGCATAATCACTTTTTTTTCCAATACGTATAAATCACTTTCAAAAGTCATTTCTGATTTACCGTTGATTAACTCTCTAGTATCGAAATAAATTTACTTAAATGATTTCTAAAACCCCAAAAAAGGGATATTGTAGAACTGACAATTATTAATGGTCTTCTTGATTCCGGACGAGATTAATCCAGTAAAAAATAGAACATGAAAATATCTAGTAAAAATTTGGAATTGGAATTTCCACTAAATCAGAACAAATTACTTATATTTTATCTTTGAACAAAAAAGTAAATTTAACTTTTATACTAAAACTAATAATAATAAAATACAGTGCAAAGCGATTAGTTGGAAAGTTAATTGCTTGTGAAATAAAAGCCCGAAGATAATGAAATTTTGATTTTCTAATATAGGTATGTGACTAGTTTAAACAGTTTTGTAGTTCCCAACAGGTATCTCAAAATAATCTCAGTTTCATTTTCAATCAGACAATGTAGCTTCGCTATCAACTTCTTCATCTTCATCAACAATATGGACATTTACCGGTAATGTTTGTGCATTACCTTCTTCATCGTTTGTACTTGCAACATTACCTGCTAAAATTAGAGTAACTATCGAGATAAAAATATTTACATTCAGGTTTATGAAAATAAAATTTAATAACAAACAGAAAAAATATGATATTTGGCCATACAATAGAACACTCATTTATTTTCGGCATTGAAATTTGTTTATAAACAATCACCCCGGTACTATTTCAAAAGAATACTTTAATTTATACAGGATTAATCGAAAACCATTTACTGTTTGGGGCTCACATGTGCGCAAAAGTCACAAACATATTTGGACTTATGAACTCAATTAGAGGTCGTATTTCATTAATGGAGCTTTAATTTTTACATGCATTAATTTATTTGTATATCTGATACCAAAATTTCGTTTCAGCTTTAACTAAAATCTAGGCCCCTCCTTATTTTATGCCAAACTTTCAGCATATTATGAGTATATTAAATATATGTATATTTAAAATTACGTAGTTGTCCTTTAGTTTTATACACGTTTTCTATTTTAATGTCCTTGTGTTTGCTCGCAAGATGAGATTTCAGATGCGACACGTTACCATTGTTGACTTTTATGGGGCGCTTGCATTCCTTACAGATACCTTTCTCCATGTCATAATAATTCCAGACTGGCGAGGTTCTTTCTTTAACATTAAATACTTTTTAATACTTGCCTAATTAAATCTATAGTTTCTATAAAAACATTAATTCAAATCAGAAGCTTGGGGTTATCTTAATTAATAAGCCTTAGGTAAAGAGCTAAATCCGAAATTTTAAGAAGTACTTATTTATTTCTCAATAATTTAATATAGCTTTTAATTAAAATTTCAAGTTGTTAGGATGTTTTGAGTAAAATTATTTTTGATCCGCACGCTCTGCTACTAGGGTGAGTGAATTATAACACTCAGCAAATTGGAATTTTAGATTCCTGTTCAATCCAAAACATCTTATATTAATTATCTTACGTCTGATTGGTTTTTTTCTTCCTTTTTGACTCACAATAGCAGTATCTTGAATTGGATGTTCTTGTTGATTTGGATCTTCTTCGATAGTTGCAGCTAAAAATTTTATAAAATTTGTTGCTAAAAATTTAAAATAATCAAGGAAAAATTGGACCTCGAAAAATTTTAACTTACAAACTCACCTCCTTACACTTTTTACTATAAGAGAGGCATATTTAATGGAAATAATTCTGATTGAGAATAGCGGTAGGCCATAGCGTTTTGTATATTTTCCGTCGATTCTTGACCTTTCATTGCGTTTCGTATTTTGCGCAAATTTAGCCTAAATTAACACAAAAAACGCCAGAAATATACACCAGAAAAAACGACAGAATACCGTATTTAGTAGGATATTGGATGGTCAAGGAAGAAATCAATGGCATTAAAAGAATCAAGTGTGATATATGAGGCTTGAACGAAGTTATTGTAGGGATTTGGGGTTTAAATTGGATATCAGGTATTTGGAGGGATATCAGGGAACTCGTAGTTACTAATAGTATAAGTAATTTATTTGGATTACGGGGAAATTGGAGGGATCTCCGTAATTACGGAAGATAGTAGTCTATGAGGATGGAATAAGGGGTCATTAAGCTGACATGATGTGATAATGCAGGATTAAAGGAGATATCGTTGGAATACCATAATAATGTTTAGAGTTCTTTGACTACGAGTTTATTGTGTTTCTCTTTGAGTTAAATTTGTGTTTTCTAGAGATTTCTAGAATTTTTTATAAAGTTTAAATCGTATAAAGAGATATATTTGAATAAAGTTTACTATCTGTGAAACCTTTTAAATAGAAGTTAAATTTTAACTTCACGATTCATTTAAAATATTGTGTAATATTTTAAATTGTTGAATAAAATTGAATTTCAAAGAAATTGAGGTACTTTTCTGTTTTGCCACACCCCTCCCTTATATTCGCGGATATTAATTCTATTTTTCCTTAATTTTTACAGAAAGGTCAGTCTTCTTCCTTTAAATTTCACTCAATTTTTCCTGTGGCATGTTCAAAGAGAGACATTAACAAAGAAAAAATTAATTTTTCTTTCCAATGTGAGGTTAAGGAAGAAAGAAGACTGACCTTTTTGTAAAAATTAAGGAAAAATAGAAATAATATTCTGCGAATATATGGGAGGGGTGTGCAAAACAGAAAAGTACCGAAATTGATTTTGAATAGAAAAGAAGAGTTTAAAGAATAAAAATAGAAAATATTGTTTACTCAATGGAATAAACTAAAGAAAACTTAAATAAATAAATTTAAAGAAAATATTAAAATTTATTTATTTTTTACATTGTCCAGCAAAAACATTTAAATTTAATTTTATTTGTTTTTGCGACAGCAATGAGTTTACAATAGGAAAATACATTTTGTTTTTAAAATGACTTACGCATATTCAGATCGAAACCAATCACCGGTCTACCCTCACTTGATGATCCGCCCATTAACTTTCCCTTCCTGCTGCCGCCACATTCCAACAAAATTGAATAATTTAAAATAATTAACAAGCAAATAACAAAATTAGTTAATTTCATCTGAAATAATTCGATTGGGAATAAGTTGCCTTGGTCTCTTTTAGAATAATTTCGGTACGGTACCCCAAATTGCTGATTACGATAAGTTGCGTGTTTTTTTGGATGTAGGCTGCGGTTTGTGTTTGCGGATTTTAAAATTCAAATTGCGAATACGGAAAATTCTTTTACAATTGCGCCCAGCGCTCCTCATTCAGACAAAACTATTCTAATGATTAGGAAATATGCTTCTCAAAATTTCCGGTGACCAAATCCGGTGCTCAAAATTTGACGGACCTGAATCCGGATTCCTGATTTGCATTTAGAACAAAACCGGATACGGCCGGATTTTTCCGAATTAATCCGATCCGGTTTTAATCAGGAAATTGCGAAAAAAATCAGGATTTGGGACACGGACTTTGGAAAAATCCGGCCGAATCCATCCGGCCCCGGTCACTAATTTTAGTAATTATTGCCCTATAAAAATACAACACGATAAAATTTTCAGAAAGAAGAAAACCTTAAATACATTTAAAAAAGTAGGCGGGTAAAGGCGTTTACGCTATGCCAAATTTCACAAGAATTCGCATAAATGATGTTTGTGTGCTAATCACATTTTTTTATTATTTTTTAAAAAAACATTAAGAAAATCAAATCAATAAATATTGTACTCGTTACTCAA